TAATTCTCCGGTGTTTCCCCTGTAGTTGCGCGACGCGCCCATACGAGCCCGGACGGTGTGCTGTGCAGTGCTCTCTCATGACACGATTGCCCTCGTCAAGAATGATAGAGTAACGCTCGAAGTATGCCGAATCGTCCAAGAACCGGACAGTGACACACCATGTTGCGCACTCTCGTCCGCCTTGGATTGCCGCCTCTCGCATCGGAGTCGCACATTTCGGTTTCCTACTGCGCCCCGGAACAAATGCCTGTCTACTCTGGTGCACCCTCCTTCGTGTTTGAGGGTCGGCCTCCCAGACGTCATCCGTTCCACAGCTCGCCTGAAGAGAGGATTGTCACCTTCGGCCTTTCCATCGGATTGAGCGATCACTTTGGGATTCAGTCTTTCACTATCGTGACCCGCCCCCGCACATTGATAGCACTTGCGACAACGGCAGTACCCGAGGTGAAATTTATCCCATGGGAGGACTGGGGCCCTTCCGGCACCGCATGTTTCGAACGACACATTGACTCCCTGTCTGACGCCTGCATGGGAGAGCGATTGGCGATGATCTCGAACTTCGACAGGTCGCTTTCTTTATTTGACTTCAACACCATGAGGGTCCAAAACGCCATGCGAGAGGTTGGCCATCCATCACAGAATGCAGTGTATCCGGTGGTCAGGGACAGAGCCGTAATCCGGAGAGGACGAGTGTTCGCGATAGACGTTGTGTCGGAACTGCCATACATATCCGTCTTAATACCAGCGCCATCTAACTGGGAGAGTCTCCAAAATTACGAAGAGAGACTCGCTGGCTTGTCGAAAGATGTCCGTGGGCAAACGATTTCCCTTCTCTGTAGCTCTGGGAACTGATTATAGCTAAACTGCTAGGACCAAGGAGCTCGTCTCAACATTTACACAACATGACAGAATGATCTCCACCGGGCACCACCCTCGCTGCGGCTCCGGCGAGCCCCAGGCTGGTAGGAATCTTTTAAACGCTTGTGCAAGCTGGGATTCAGTTGCTGCCACATAATGTTCTGTAGGTGGGCGGACACTGGAAGTGGTCGGGCGTTGTGGTGTCATACAGCTGAGCGTGCTGCCTAGTAAATGATTTTGACTGCCATTAAGTTGTTACCTGCGTTTCTGGCCGATGGACGCGATGCATTGGAAGAAAAGAGAGGGAGCGAGGAATCGGGTCGAGGGACGAGCGTTGGCTTCGGGATAGGTCGTGCGAGTTGAGGTTGCCAGGAAGTGCACTGGCTAGCCGGGAAAAGTGACGCCGTCCGCCCATCGTTGAGTTCTGCCTTACCAAACTGCCTTTGGCTGTTCAACAAAAAAACAGGTAGTGGCATCATACCGAGAGAACACACAACAACCGGAGGTATATTCGGTTTTGAAGCCGTTTTACAAGCTATGCGAAACATATCTAGACCTTCCCTACCTTCCTTGTTGTGAACTGCAGTCCATTCTCCTCGTGTAGACCCTCGAGTTCGACATGGGCAGTACATGATTCCGTGCGAAAGTGCGAAAGGAAGGGGTGGGTTCTCAACGGTCTCAACGGAATACTCACAGTCATTTCCATATCTTTGCTGGGATGATCCGATGGATCGTAGCACGACACATCACGGGCTTTTCGGTGGCAATACAGTGGCTATATGGTGGATACGAAGTGAGAGTATGAAATTTGAAGACGGGAGGCGATGTTAGTGACGAAGGAGCTCCAGCTGCGCAGGTCCCTCAAGGCTGGTGCCTACAACACTCCTACAACTCTATCCACATGACGCTTAGAAGTCGCCAGGCCAATAGCATAAAACGTACCAAGATACTTGGAAGCTCCCTGCCAAGTGCCCATATTGCTTGATACCTGGTATCATCCATCGGTACTATTCGGTAGGCTCCCAGTCGTGTATGTGTCTCCGAGCGCTGTCTCGGATCTAGTCATTGGCGGCGACGCTAGTTATCAGGAATGAAGAAAAGTACGAACCAAAGGGACTGTAGGGACGTAGGGTACTGCAGTGGTACTGTCCTGTCCTGGCAGTGAAACGAAACGCGTAAAGGTTCGACGTCGAAGGACAATGAGACGCGGAAGGGACTTCATTTTGGCCAGGGCAGTGGGCTCGGTGGGCTCAGTGGAGAACTTTACATACACTCTAGATCCCTGTTTCGGCGAACAGTGATGACTGTAGGGAATAAACAGAGGATACTTCGATTCATATGGTGTTTGAAAAAAAAAAGGGCTTCGTTTCTCCGAGTCAGATGAGCACCGCCTGGTGCTGCCCACGCCGACGCCGCGCGCCCGTGGCAGACCAAAACGATAACTAGGTCAGCACTTCCGTCCATGTCAACACAAATCCTTTCTCGTTGCCTTCATCTACCCGATGAAGTGCTTGTTGAAATCCTCTCCTATCTCTGTCCCCGGGACATAGCAGCGTGTCAGCGCGCTTGCCGACAACTCAACGACATCGTTGTTTGCTCTCAATTCCTGCAGTATCTTATCCGAGTCGGGAGGTCTGGCCTGCACGATCCTATGCTTCCCGGATACACCATTCTTCAGCGAGTCGAGGCCCTGGAGAGATGGGAAGTTTCTTGGAGGAACCTCGAGGCCCAGAGTTCGTACCAAGTCAGACGCATTGTCGGCTGCGAATTGGCAGGTGGACGTTGTTCTAAATACATCATTCGCGACGACTTCCTGATAGCGATGCATGATTCAATGTTTTCCCTCAAGCCAGGGTACGGATACGTCGATCTGCGTGTATCCCAACCAGGGGGTGAAACGGATCCCTGGACCAGGATAATAATAATGGATAATTGGTCTAGGAAAGCGTATAGATTCCAGTTTCTTCCGGAGCAGAACCTTGTTGTGGCCACCTTGTGAGTACGATGATCTTTCATGAACTCACCGTGCTACTGCTGTACTATGGCTGATAAATGTTGAATTTATCCAGTTGGACGTCAAATAACTCGCCTTTGACGCTGATCGAGTTACACGGGTTTAGTTTCTCTCGAGGGACACCGGATCCGCGATTCGTCAGTGCGACCATAACGATAACAAGGAAACCGCTATCTGTAAATCTTAGGGTCGTCGGTAATCACACTATCATTACTGTTTCTTTAAGGAAGTCGCAGAGACTATTTCTCCACTCTTGGAAAGACGGACGTGTGTCTCCGGTTCGTAATCCTGCTTGTCATGACCACCGACTCGCATTGTAACTCTCCAGTGTTTCCCCTGTAGTTGCGCGACGCGCGCCAAAATCCCTGGTCGGCCTGCTGTGCAGTACTCTCTCATGACACGATTGCCCTCGTCGAGAAATATACCGCAACGCTCGAAGTATGCCGAATCGTCCAGGAACCGGACAGTGACACACCATCACTGCGCACTCTCGTCCGACTCGGATTACCGCCACTCGTATCTGGGATGAGCCTCTCGTATTCCTACTGCTTCCCGGAACAAATGCCTGCCTACTCTGACACACCTTCCTTCGTGGTTGAGGGCCCGGGTCGCCCTCCGAGATGTCATCCGTTCCACAATTCGCCTGAAGAGAGGATTATCGCCATCAGCTTTTCTGTCTGGCACGCCAACCGGCGCCTTGCAGATCGATCTTTCACTTTCGTGACCCACCTCCGCACATTGACAGCACATGCGACAACGACACTACTACCTGAGGTGAACTTTATTCCGTGGAAGGACTGGGGCCCTTCCGGCACTGCATGTTTCGAACAACGCATTAATGAGGGCTGCGTGGGAGAGCGATTGGCGGCGATCTCGGACGGGTCGCTTTCTTTATTTGACTTCAACTTCACGAGGGTACAAAATGCCACCCGAAGGGTTGGCCATCCATCACAGGATGCAGTGCATTCGGTGGTCAAGGACAGGGTCGTGATCCCTAGAGGACGAACGTTCGAGACAGACGTCGTGTCGGAACTGCCATACATATCCACCGTAATCCCAACGCCCTTTGACTGGAAATGTCTCTGTAAGTATGAAGAGGGACTCGCTGGTTTGTCGACTGAAGTCCGTGGGCAAACGTTTTCCCTTCTCTGTAGCTCTGGGAATTGATTATTGCCAAACTGACAGGACCATGTCAATATTTACACAACTCGATAGAACGATCTCCACCGGGCACCGCCTTGGCTGCGTCCGGCCCTTGATTCAGTAACTCTGGTGAGCCCCAGGCTGGTAGTAATCTTTTACGCGTTTGTGCAAGCTCGGGTTCAGTCTCTGCCAAATAATTATTTCTGTATGTGGGTGGACACCGGAGGTGGCGCTCTGTTGGCATCTCGGTGTTCGAGACTTTGTATTGTCATACAGCTGAGCGTGCTGCCTTGTAAAATGATAATTTCGACTGCAATTAAACGTCTCTGGTCGGCGGATGCAATGTATTGAAAGCGCAGAGAGAGAAAATAACTAATCGGGGCAAAGGGGATGAGCGTTTACTCCGGGGTGGATCGTGCCAGTGAAGGTTGGCTGGAGGTGCGTTGGCTTATCCGACGCCGGCCGCTCATCGTTGGGTTGTTGTGTGTGTTATCTCGGTATGATGGGCACTACCGGTTTTTTGTTGAACAACCAAAGGCAGTTTGGTAAAGCAGAACCGCATTTATATTCATTCTTGAAGCTGTTTTTACAGGCTATGCGAAACTCATCTAGATCTTCCCTGCCTACCCGGTGGTGAACTGCAGTCGGTTCTCCTAGTTCAACGTGGGCATACAGTACGCGATTCCGAATTCGAATGCGAAAGGAAGGGGTTAGTTCTCAACGGTCTCAACGGAAATACTCACAGTCATCTCCATATCTTTGCTGGGATGATCCGATAGATCGTAGCACGACACATCACGAGCTTTTCGGTGGCAATACAGTGGCGAAAAGGTGGATACAAAGTGAGAGTACGGAATTTGAAGACGGGAGGCGATGTTAGTGATGAAGGAGCTCCAGCTACGCAGGTCCCTCAAGGCTGGTGCCTACAACTCTATCCACATGACGCTTAGCAGTCGCCAGGCTGTTAGCAGCATTTTTAATAAAGTGACCAGACTGGGGTTTGAACCCAGGTCTCCTGAATATATACCAGGTGCTCTACCTATTGAGCTACCTAGCCATGGGTGGTGGCTGGTTTTTACATCTTCACAACTGTGTTGGACTCCCCAACCAGTTCTAGTGACAGATTACCATTCCAACACAGGCCAGTAGCATAAAATGTACCAAGATACTTGGAAGCTCCCTGCCAAGTGCCCCATTTGCCTGATACCTGGTGCCATCCATCTGTAGGCTCCCAGTCGTGTGACTCGTGTCCGTGTATCCGAGCGGTGTCTCGGATCTAGTCATTGGCGACGACGCCAGTTATCAGGAATGAAGAAAAGTACGAACCAAAGGGACTGTAGGGACGTAGGGTACTGTAGTGGTACTGTCCTGTCCTGGCAGTGAAACGAAACGCGTAAAGGTTCGACAATTGCGACGCGGAAGGGACTTCACTTTGGCCAGGGCAGTGGGCTCGGTGGGCTCAGTGGAATTTTCTTAGAACTTTACATACACTCTAGATCCCTGTTTCTGCGAACAGTAATGACTAGGGAAAAAACAGAGGGTAGTTTGATTCATGGAGTTCGAAAAAACATTCGTTTCCGTTTCTCCGAGTCGGATGAGCGCCGCCACTCGGACGCCACTCGGCCGCCGGGCCGCCGGGCCGCCGGGGGTTGCACTGGTGTTGCCCGCGCCACAGCCACAACTAGGTCAGCACACTGTCAGCACTTCCGTCCATGTCAACACAAATGCGCCTTCATCTGCCCAATGAAGTGATCGTTGAAGTTTTCTCCTATCTTTGTCCCCGGGACATAGCAGCGTGTCAGCGTGCTTGCCGACAACTGAACGACATCGTTGTTTGCTCTCAACTCCTGCAGTATCTTATTCGTGTCAGGAGGTCTGGCCTGTACGATCCTATGCTTCCCGGGTACACAATTCCTCAGCGCATCGAGGCCCTTGAGAGATGGGAAGCTTCTTGGAGGAACCTCGAGGCCCAGAATTCGTACCAAGTCAGGCGCATTGTCGGCTGCAAATTGGCGGGTGGACGTTGTTCTGAATACACAATTCACGACGACTTTCTGATAGCGACGTCTGGTTATTTATTTGACCCCTACCCAGGGTACGGATACGTCGATCTACGTGTATCCCAACCAGAAGGTGAAACGGATCCCTGGACCAGGATAATAATGGATAATTGGTCTGGGAAATGTTATCTATTCCGGTTTTTTCCAGCGCAAGACCTTGTTGTGGCCATCTTGTGAGTACGAGGATTTTCCACAAGCCCAATGCGCTACTGCAGTACTTTGGCTGATAAACGTTGAATTTATGCAGTTGGTTAACGGATAACTTGCATTCAACGCTTATCGAGTTACACGGGTTCAGTTTCTCTCGAGGCACACCGGATCCCCGATTCGTCAGTGCGACCATAACGATAACACAGGTAGCGCGACCCACGGATGTTACACTCGTCGGTAATCACACTATCCTCAATGTCTCTTCGGACAAGTCACAGAGACTATTTCTCCACTCTTGGAATGACGGACGTGTGTCTCAGGTTCGTAATTCTGGTTGTCATGACCACAGACTCGCACAGTAACTCTACGCTGTTTTCCCTGTAGTTGCGCGATGCGCCCGAACAATCCTGGTCGGTGCGCTGTGCAGTGCTCTCTTATGACACGATTGCCCTCGTCGAGAATTATACCGGGACGCTCGAAATATGCCGAATTGTCGACGAACCGGAGATTGACACGCCATCGCTGCGTCCACTTGCCCGCCTTGGATTGCCGCCTCTCGCATCGGGGGCGCACATTGTGTATTCCTTCTGCTTCCCGGAACAAATGCCTGCCTACTCTGAGTCACCTTCCTTCGTGGTTGAGGGCGTTGAGGGCCGGCCTGCTAGACGTCATCTGTTCCACAGCTCGCCTGAAGAGAGGATTGTAGCCCTTTTAATCAAGCTTGAAGGCGGCCTTAAGAGCCGACGTTTCACTATCGTGACCCACATCCGTACATTGATAGCACATGCGACAACGACAGTACCTGAGGTGAACATTATCCCATGGGAGAACTGGGGCCCTTCCTGCGCTGCATGTTTCGAACAACGCATTATCCCCCAGTCTGACGCATGCGTGGGAGAGCGATGGGCGACGACCTCGGGCGGGACGCTCACTTTACTTGACTTCAATTCCATGAGGGTAAAAAACACCATCCGAAAGGTTGGCCATCAATCACGGGATGCGGTGTATTCAGTAGTCAGGGACAGAATCGTAATCCCGAGAGGACAACTATTCGGGATAGACGTTGTGTCGGAACTGCCACATATATCCGCCTTAATGCCAGCACCCTTTAACTGGGTTAGTCTTTGTAATCATAATGAGGGACTCGCTGGTTTCTCGAAAGATGTCCGTGGGCAAACGTTTTCCCTTCCCTGTAGCTCTGGGAGCTGATTATTGCCAAACTGCCAGGACCAAGGAGCTTATCTCAACATTTACACAACACGATAGAAGATCTCCACCGGGCGCCACCCTGGCTGCGTCTGGCCCTTGATTCAGTAACCCTGGTACCAGTGCGGTGTTGGGTGGCATAGAATACAGTAGGGTTAGATTGGGAGATTACAGGTTTCGTCACCATGACATCACGTTTTCGAATCGCAACACGAAACAATCTGGACTGTCGAGAGCCCCAACGCCGACACCGCACCCAAAAGAGTGACGCGTGGGTTTAGTGCGAACGCCTGGCTTGTTGCGGTGCCAGTCAGAACCTGTACGAGCGGGATAGTACTGACAGGACGCTTTACTCGCTTTTGTTTTCAGTCTGAGGTGACGCCGGGGGGTTGTTCAGCACATATGCGCCGGTCCCACCTCATATTGAGTCACGAGACAATATCATCGTAGTGATACACCGGTCCCAGAGTACACCAGGCAGAGTGCAGGAAACGATAGGACGATCAACAAACCATTAGGGGTTAGTTAATATCGCTATATCGCCCACGCAAGCTCTATATTCCGAGGCTGTAGATGACGGGCTAATGTAAGCTAGAGTTGCTTGAGTGAGTTCAAACGGGAGTGACGCGCGCGGCTGTCTATAAGTAGACAACAAGGGTATTCTCAGTGGACACGCGCGGGCACGAGAACTGTGTGTATTACCTATAAGTAGACAACAAGGGTGTTCTACTTATGATAAGCATAGTGAAGGTCTAAGCGTCTAAGAGTAATAAGTAATGCTCACCTCAGTGGACGCGCGCGGGCACGAGAACTGAGGTGGCCTGTCTACCATGCAAGCTCTATAAGTAAGAGGTCTGTAACAACGAGGGTGGTCTACCTATATGAGCACCAATATAAAGTAATGAAATCTGTAGTAAGGGATCTTAAGCAACTAATTAAGAGGTCCGAAAAGCGGTATCTGTACTGAGACGATCTGCGTCGTCATTTTCGTCCGACACGGGCCACACCGCATGTTCACCACATAACGACCACAATGATTTGCCAACAACTTCAAGTTCTCGGCTGAGAGCAGGATCAACACGCTGGGAATGCAATCCAAGGATCGATGGAGGATGAGTACGATGAGTGATTCAGATCGCCACCCGGATCAGCTAATCCGTCTGTCACTGGTGAGGATGTTGATGTTGAACAACCACACAGTCCGACTTCCTTTGCCCTTCCGCCCCACATCTTGCCTTTTCGAGTGTGCGCATCCCTAATTCGTGAGACTGGTGGTCTTTATTTGTGAGGGTGATCGGGTGCCATAATCTGTCTTGCCAATCCGATTCGATGCAACACGTCGGCCTCAGACCACTGGCAAACGCAATCGTACCTTTGGCCACGGAGTATCACATACTGCAAGGGGAAAACACTGGCGTAGTTTCGCTGCTCCCAGTTCTGGATATATGCGTCCCCAGAAATATTCCAAATTGTCAGGTTATCTCCTTTGATGACGCATATTGCGCATCCAATGAGCCGGTTTACTCGGTCTAGAGTAACCCACTCTATAAATGAGCTCCTTTTGCGATCGAGCCCGGTGTAATGACCCAGGCCGAAATGGTCACAGAGTCAGCTGAGCAGGGGGAAACGCAATTCCGTGGTTGGCTTTCGCAAGAGGTGCGCTATCCGTTGTCCTCGGTCGTCTTGGCGAAGATCCGCGGTGAATTTTGTTCCTTATCTTTGCTGCGATTAGTGCGATGATCCGATGGACCGTAGCATTAGATGTGGTACATCACGAGCTGCTTAGTGGATTTACACCGCAGTTGGAAGAAGGTGGATACGAAGTGAGAGTTCGGAACTTGAAGATGGGAGGCTAGTACTAGAATAATGTTGGTGAACTGAAGAAGGGGCTCCAGGCTGCGCAGGTCATTCAAGCCACATGACACTTAGTAGTCGTCAGGCCAGTAGCATAAAACGTACCAGGATACTTGGAAGCTCGCTGCCGAGTGCCAGTATTGCATGATATCTGGTGCGTCCATCTGAGTCACCGAGGCTCCCGTCGTGGCTCTGCATCCGATCACTGTCTCGAATCCGGATCCTGACTGCGACGCCGGTTATCAGGAATGAATGTAGGAATGTAGGGTATTGCACTGTCCTGGCAGTGAAACGAAACGCGCGTGAAGTTTCGACGTCGAAGGGCGAAGTCAAAAGTGACTTCATTTGGCCAGGTCAGTAGGCTCGGGCCCAGCGGAATTTTCTGGAAACTTTACATACACACTAAACCCCTGTTTCCCAGAACAATCATACTGTAGAGAAACAGCAAGGAGGTAGTATCCATCGAGTTTGTTTGAAAAAAAAAACATCCGTTTTTGTTTGACGAGCGCCTATAACTGTCCACGGCGCCCAGGTCCGTGCGCCGCGTGGTGGCAGAACACAACCGGGTCAACACCTCCGCCCATGTCAACAAAAATGCTTTCTCGACGCCTTCCTCCTGATGAGGTGCTTGTTGAAGTCCTTTCCTATCTCTGTCCCCGGGATATAGCAGCGTGTCAGCGCTCTTGCCGACAACTCAACGATGTCGTCGTTTGCTCTCAATTCCTGCAGTATCTTCTCCGAATCGGGAGGTCTGGCCTGCACGATCCTATGCACCCCGGATACACCA